GTCCTCTTACCTGATTGCTCCGGCTAGCCATCCGGTACTGTGTTGAGTAGCAGTGGGGAGAGGGGGCACCCCTGTCTTGCTCCTGATCAAGAAGAAGATCCGGAGAAGCTGTCAGCCTTTTACCATTGAGGGTGTTAGCTGTGGACGTGTCATTTACAGCTGTTATATACCTAATTTGTTAAGAGTTTTTGTCATTAAAAGATGTCGAATTTTGTGAAATGCTTTTGCTACATGTGTTGAGATGATTGTATGATTTTCTTCTTTCATTCTGTTGACTTGGTGTGCCATCTTGATTGACTTGCAGGTGTTGACCCGTCCTTGCACCCCAGGAATAAATCCCACCTGTTTGTGGAGCACTGTCCTTGTCGCGTGCTGCTGACTTCAGTCTGCTGCTGTCGTTGAGCATTTCCGCATCTGCACTTGTCAGACATCGGCCTGTCATTTTCTTCTAATGCCTTTCTCTGGCTTTGGTGTCAAGGCCATGTTGGCCTCATAAAACAAGTTTGAGATTATTCCTCCCTCTGATTTTTTGGAAGAGTTTGAGAAGGATTGGCAGTAATTGTTCTTTACTCGTCTGGTGGAATTCACCAGGGAAGCCGTCTGATCCTGGGATTTTCTTTGTTGGGAGATTTTATTACAGATTCAGTCTCGTTACTAGTAATTGGTCTGTTCAGATTTTCTATTTTTTCCTAATTAAGTCTTGGAAGATTGAATGTTTCTAAGAACTTTTTCATTTCTTCTGTGTTGTCCAGTTTGTCTCCATATAGTTAGTTGGTCTGGCTTTTCGGACAGGCAGGCCTGGGTACCGCACTCAGCAGCAGGCGGCTGTGCGAGCGAGCTCTCTGCCCAGCGGGGCAGCAGGGCGGCGGGGCTGCGTGGCTCCTCCTTTGCGAGACTGTGCACGGAATTCCCGCTGGACGGGACGGGGCCACCTGTTTTGCTCTGCAGGTGCGGAGAGCAGTGGGCTGTGCTGTCTGCTGAAGGGCCCCCGTAAGCCGGGCTGTGGACGGGCTGTGCAGCTCCCTGTGCACTACGGTGAGGCTCCCTGGCCAGGGGGTGAGGCTGCACTCAGCAGTGAGCCAGGCTGTGCGTTCGCTTCCCTGCCTGGCGGGTGGGAGAACCAGTTCCTTGCACAGGGCGGCTTGGTCTTGAGTCGCGCGGACCCGCACCCCCAGGCCCCAGCCTGCGTGGCACCACTGGCTTTGCTCTGTGGACTCTCTGGTCCTGCGCTGCTGGCTTCACGGCTCCCCAGGAGCCCCAGGGTGGCTTTGTGGTCAGCAGTGGGCAACGGTGGGGGGCAGACCTGGGCCCGCCCAGTTCCTGGTGAGACGGTGCCCCATCTTGGCTCTGCAGCTGCGTGAAGCCACGGGTGGGGACTTCGCCTTAGGCTCTGCAGGTGGGATTCGTTTTGCCAAGATCTGTGCACTAGTGGCAGTGAGCCCCGCCCCCTTTCTCTGTCGCAGATTTGCCGAAGTCCCCGTGGGGCAAGACCAGAGTGGGGGCTCCCAAGAAGCAGCCCACAGTGTGGGGGAGCCAGGTATCCACCCTGGGCTCCCTTCTGCCCCTGGAGGACCCGGGGCTCCGGAGAGTGTTGAGCTGGTGCCGCACCACCTGGGAGGGCAGCGCCGTCACCTGTGGGCACTTCTTACCCTAACGCTGCCATGGTCTCACTGCTGCCAGGCGGGGGTGCTCCCGCCTCCCCTGTGTCCCACGGTCCTCTCAGCAGTGTCTTGTCCCTGAAGAGGTGTTAGTTCTTGAGGGGGGAGTGAAGTGTGCACTGACCTATGTCACCACCTTGGTATATACTCTCCCAGGCTCATTTGTTGAAAAAGAACCTTCTAGGATGTCGTGTCCCTCACGGTTTGCGCTCAGAGCTGGGACTCGTAGACCCCCAGGGATGGCAGGGCCTGCAGGTGGGGTCGCTCGTGCTCACCTTGGATTTGGCGCTGGCCACTAAAAGGTCACCTCGCCTCTCTCTGAAGATGTTTTGTGACAGTGTAAATCACTCTAACGGAAAGGCTTTTGGTAAGTCATGGATGATAGTTATTTTCATCAGGATTTCAAAGTCGCCCCCCCCCCCCGGGGCAGGAAGTCCTGTTTGCACCCGAGGAATGGGCACCACAGCAACCGTTCTTCCTTGATGCCTGAAACGCGTTCTCTCGTTTCTGCAGCCCAGCTTCTCGGGGCCCTTGAGTTTTCTAACACATCATGTTTGTCTTTGTTTCATGGCTGTCACTTCTCCCCGAATCTAATCCCAGTTACAAAGAACCCCTGAGCCTCTGTCTCCAGGACCCACTGGGGTTTGTGTCAGCTTTTTTGAAGAGGGTGCCGCCCGCCGCTGTAAGAGGTAGCCTCCCCCAGCGGGAACTGGGCTCGCTTCAGCACAGCCCACAGCTCTGCCCCGCTCTGGTGTCCCTGTCCTTGTGGACCTCCCGTCATCAGCGCCCTTCAGAATGGAGTTTGCGAGGGTGCTTTCCTGGTGTCAGGACCTGGGACCCCCCCGGGTGACCCTCGTTCATGCCCCCCTGAGGGCGAGTGCACGTGGGCACTACCGTAGAAGAAGGCTTGTTAGACGGCTCTGCCTGCCGAGCGAGGTGTCTGGCTGGGACCGGTGAGCTCAGGTGGTGCCTGTGGCTAGTAGGACGATGCTTGGCCTGGAGTGAGGACCCGTGGAGCACAGCTGAAACGACGCCACCTCCCCGAAGCTGCAGTGGCCCCGGCGTGCCCCATGTTGACCGAACACTTACCTCTCTAGGAATCCCTCCTGCCTCTGTCTGTGCGTGCACCATCGCTTATCTTTATAATGTAGTTTTTATGTGACTTCAGCCTCTTCTGGTGACTCGTCTGCCAGCACAGACTTGCTGTCTGATTCCTTCTGGTGCCTCCTGGTGCCGTGTCACAGCCATGACCCTGGGCGTCTGCTGCGGGGGGTACGGAGCCTGGCTCTGAGGTCACCCGGTGGGTATTTCCAGCACTCCAGCGTGATGGCAGCATTGGGCAGGGGGTGTTGTCACACAAGCACAAGTGTGGGCTCACGTGCCAGGCCCAGGTGTGGTGTTGCAGGGGCAGAGCCTGGTGGCAAAGGGGGAGCCGGGGCACGTTGGTGGGCGGGAGAGGCAGGACGCAGGCTGTCCTTCTCGAGGGGCAGTGAGAGGACATAACGACGGCGCGTGGTGGGCTTGTGTGGGGCTCAGGGTTTCCAGAGGCGGTGGGTGGAACTGCAGGGAGGAAGCTGTGGCCTCGTGCGCCTCCAGGTCAGCGACAAGTGAGAAGCCTCTGAAGCGGGTCGGACAGGGATGCCGTGAGCTGTAGCACGTGGTCCTGAACGCAGGCTGAGCACAGCCCCCGGGGATGTGCAGCCTGTGCTGAGGTTTTCATGATTGAAAATGACAGTGAAGGTGCTTTTGGTGGCACTTTATTTGCTAGTTGTAGGTTATGAAGCCAGAGGTTTGCCCCTCAGCTCTGTGGCCGAAATCTAAGACTTAGGTGACGCTCGTTTCTAGCCTGTAGGCAGAGCCACGCGGCAATACTTTCTAAGCCTCGAGTAGATTCTCATCTGCTCCGTTGTGACGGTTATTGGGTGAGTCTGTGCAGACCTCCTGGGGGTCAGCATGATGTTACCGCACCCCTCCAAAGGGTCTCAAGCACCCCAGGTCACGGAAGGCTCCAGGAGCCGGGCAGAGTTGCGGGGTCAGAGGGTTGACACAGTTCATGTTACACTCGGCTGCTCTCTGGCAGTAACCCCGACAGTAACCCCAGGCAGCAGATGTCCTCTGTGGAACTGGCTGTGTTCGGTGGCATTGATGGCTTTGCGGGGATGTTTGTCCACAAGGGCCTAGAACAGAATGTGACTCAGAAAAAAGCTTCAGGCCCTCATCAGAGGACAGAAGTCTAGTTAAGTGTATAAAGTTAAAGGCCTTTGAACTTCACAGGACTTGATGTCACACACACACTGAGCCACTTAAGCTGAGTTCTTGGTTTGCTGGTTGGTCCGGGCGACCGTGGGTCCCAAACCCCCGGGAGAGACCAGAAGCTTGTGAACGGGGATTTCCTTAACGTCTGGCATCGGTGTGAGGGCGACAGGGGGCCGGAAGCAGAACCTGCACTGCGGGTGGCCCACGACGTCCTGCAGAAACGCCGTCATGGCCTGGGGCCGCCCGGTGACTGGGAGGGTCTGGTGGCTGGACAGCTCCATGCGCCGGAGTGGGCACAGCAGCCCCGCACTCGTGACCACGCAGCCTTCTGATCGGGAGCCGGCCCACGGGACGCGACGCCAGTCCTCAGCGCCCTGCTGAGCTCGGAGACGCCTGCGCTCCTGGCCCCCCCGGCCCTGGGCTCAGGCAGCAGCAGAGCCCCAGCCGCGGCGCAGCCTCAGTGGGTCACTGTGCTGAGTGCACTTCCTGTTCTGACGGACTGTGTCACACCAGTGCTGCCGTGCAGCCTCTGGGGACAGCTGTCAGTGATGCACTTTTTTTATGTCGCGTTATTAATGTTTCCGAGTCTCTCTCTTATCTGGGTCTGCCCCTTGGGAGCCACCCTCTTGCCTCCCGTCCCTGCCCCCCAAAGCGAAGAAAACCGACCCTAGCCGAAGCTGTGGACTCGGGGACGTGTGGTTTAGCTCTCAGGACAGGCACTTTGTGTATTCACTTCGCCATGTGCCTCTGGGTCTGTGCTGGGCCCGGAATCTGCGCGTCCTGACCTCAGAAGTGAGGCTGCTGCGTCATTTGCCCTAAGACACAGCCGCTGTGGCGTTGGTGCAGGTCCCCCTGCCTGCAGAGGCCTGCCCGCCTCACACTGCAGCTTCGTCGCTGCACTGGTTCTGGCAAAAAGATTGCTGGTCTGTGGGCGACAGCTACGGACACACGAGACGCGTGGGTGTGACCAGGTGACCGAGTGCGCGGTCGTCCCTTCTCTGAGGTTCAGCCCCCTGGGTTTTGTTACAAAGCTGTGATCGTTTATTTACTGTATAGGATTTGATCTTCTTCTTAACCTCTTATTAGGTTCAGGGAGCGAGTTTCCGAGGTTGGAAAGAAGCGACTTCCCCGTTTAACGACGACGACGAGCAACACCTGCTGGAAAGCCGCAAATCTCCCAGGTCCAGAGGGTGAGTCCCCAAGGTCAGGGGCGCGGTCCCTCCTGCCAGGCCGGTGGCCACCCGCCAGAGGCGGAGGTCTGCACAGAGCCCGCCCCTGAACCGCTGTCTGTCCCTCTGCCTTCCCTGTGGCAGGTAGCAGGGCAAGTGACGTGGCAGCCGCACTCCTCCCCCGGTGCGTAAACAGCCACCAGGAGGACTAACGTTGATGTTCTGGGAACAAAAGAAAGTAAAGTGTGCTCTGTGTGACGTCACAAGGCCGCTGTCTCACTTGAAAGGTTGTGGAGAGTGACAGCTCTCGGTGAAGCCACCAGCCGTCACGCCGAGGCTGTGCTGAGATGCAGGTAGTTTCAGAAAATCCAGAGGGTAAACCATACAGGACTGGTTCGTACACTGTGAGGATTTAGAAAACTGAATAGACTTCAACTGACATGTTGCTGTGGCTTATTGTAAGTATTTTGAATCTGTAAGCCGCGTATTTAAAGATGAAAATGTATGTTCAGCGGTGACCTGATGTTACCAGCAGTGGCCTGTGTTGGATGCGAAGGGGACTCTGGGCCTAAATGTGACGAACGTGCTACTTTGAGGTGCAGGTTGGGCCACCCGGGTGGCCCTGTCGGGACCGTGTATGTCAGTCCTCTTGTGTCAGCGTCTCCTGGGGGCTTTGAAGTTCCTGAGTGCTGGCCCCTCGGTCCGGTTGAGCGAGATCTCCAGGGCTGAGGCCTGGCCGTGGTCCAGGCTCCCACGGTCGGCTGCCCAGGGCTCTGTCCCCACCACACGGCGGCCGTCCCCGCCGTGGTTCCTCCTGTGGCTGGCAGTGTCCTGAAGTCCTGTTGCTGTTCAGCAAGCCACCTGCTAAATGCTCGAGGGTGCCGTGCTGGGCGAGGCCCCTGCCCAGAGCCGGCCGGATAAATGGAGTGGCCCCACGTTTTAGTCTGGACCCTGATCCCCTGTCCTGTGGTTTGGTCACAGCTGTCACGCTGGCCTGAGGGTCTCTCTCACGGCTTCTCGTCTGACAGCTCATCTGAAATGTAGCTTTCGTAACTTTGTTTGATACCATGCAGTGACTAATTTCTCCTTATTTTAATATTTAAAGTTTTACATACATATTTGTGTTAGCTTTCTACACAATTTACGTTTACACCATTTTAGAAAAAGACCCTTATGTTTATAAAATATGGGCAGAATTTGAGGCCTGAGTTTATGGGGTGACCAACACTTAACTCTTTTGTCTCCCACAGAACTAACTTACGACTAAAAGAAGAGCTGAAGACCGAGAAGAAATCTGGATTTTGGGACAATTTGGGTTTAAAACAGAATACACAGTCTAAGAAACCAGACGAGATTGAAGGTTGGGAGCCTCCAAAGCTTGCTCCTGAAGATGTGGCGGCCGAGTCAGGTGACACCGTGAGGGACGAAGCGCCCCGGCCAGGCTGGGAGGAGGGTGTCAAGGGCTCCACACGGTACAGCAGCCTGGCCGGCTCCGCAGGCGCCTCCCGCTGGAGCCTTCGGTCGGCCGGGCGGCTGGTCAGCATCAGGCGGCAGAGCAAAGGCCACCTGACCGATGACTGGGAGGAGCTGGAGTGACATCACGGGGACGCGGGGGCAGAGCTTCAGGTCCCCAGCTTTTCCAAACCGAAACCTGCTCGTAGTGCAGCCTTGTGCCCTGTTCTGTTCAGACTCCTGCAGTTTGCTGTGTCCGCGTTTTCCTCGTGTGTCGCGCTGTTAGTCCTGCCCGTGTCCCGTTTAGACTTGGATGTTCCCACACAGCCAGGAAACTTCCAAAGCTGACCACTGGCCTGGCGTGCTGCCCGGCTGCCTTACTTTGGCCGCGTCCCCGCCTGGGCGCCACGTGCCACTGGCCCCGGAGACGGCGTTTCTGGTGCTGTCCCCCCCGGCACCAGGTAGGAGCCGCCCTTTGCCACACGGTGAGCGTGCTGCCCGCCCTTGGTGACGCGACGCCTCCCTGCTATAAGCCGTGTGCAGTCAGAGCCCAGGAACGCAGGGGTCAAATCGTGTTCACCCGGAAAATCAAACTTTCCTTCATATTAATTTTCAAAATACGTAAACAAACCAATTTCCAGAAAAGCAGAGGTAGCCTGTGATGAAGCGTGGACGGGCCACCGTGCAGGTGACAGCGCTGCTGACCTGGGGCTTTGTTTTCACTTCTGAACTTTGAAATATGCATCTTTGTTTTATTCTAAACATTTGTTCTCCTTTTTATTTTTATTTTTTTACACTTTTGTCTTCTTTATTAATATATATTTCCTAATATATATTCAAAAAAATGATTTCAAGATATGTGACATAAAGCAAGATCATTTTTATCAGTAATGTCTCTTAAAGGAGGGAAAACTTAAGGTGTAAGCCTGCAGAAGGTGAAGAAGCGGAAATGGGCGTCTTCAGCAGAGCAGGCCGCCTGGTTACTCCGGAGCAGAAAGGACCAGCTGGGACTGACCCAGCTCCGCGGGGAAGACGACCTACCGTGTGTCCAGTTTCTCCTCACACTTCTCACAAAGCGTAAATAAGTGATAAAAGAGCAGTTGTCCCAGTGTCGTCAGTAATGAGTAAAAGGGGAAAACTAACCCTCATCAGGTTCAAGTAATGTTTTATCACTAAAAATGAGAAGAAATGTAGGGAAAACGATACTCTCACCTGAGATGATTTAGACAATCATGCGCAAACGAGCCTTTTAACTACAGCAGTAATAGTCATTCGAAAAGAACTGAGAAGGGAGAAAGCAGGTAGCGAATTTAAGGTCCGTGTAAATTAAATCTACTCACATAATAACCTTCAGTTACCTGTTAAGTACAGAAACATTCCCTCTTTAATCATCCAAAACCCCTGCGAAGAGATGACGCCTCGCCCACAGCACAGGTGGGAAGCGGAGGCAGGAGGGCTGCGTGGCGCGTGGGGTTATGCCGTGGCATCGGGGACACAGCCTGACCCGCTGCTCTGTAGACGTGGTGTGGACGCCAGTGGATGTCGCGAAGCGAGGCAACTCGAAACCCGCTCTCAGCTGCCGCGTGCAGCCCGGTGGAAGGGCAGGCGCTTGACCCAAAGTACTAAAACCTCTTAATCCTTTTTCTACACAGTCCTTAAATTCCCCTTTCAACTTTTTGCACTAATTTACACGGACACATTACCATTTTCAATGTAACATTAGTATAGTTAAGAGACTGGTCACTAGTGAGACAGAAGCGGCCCGGCTGCCAAGGAGGGGGCCGGGGAGAGGGGGGCAGCCCCCCACGCTGCATCCCGGCCACCACTCCGCTTTGGAACCGCGGCCCTCAGGCTTGTTGTGAGGGACAAGTAAATGTGTTGGTTGGTTTAAACCATTAAAAAAAGGGGTGGGGGGAGAAGAAGGGAGGGAAAGAAACTGGTCACAAGCTTTTATATAGGCTTCATGAAAAAAAAATTTTTTCTTGAAACAATTGGTTAAAAACTCGGGTTTTCTAAAGAGATTTGTACGGACATGGGACTACGAAGATACAGAAAGCTGGAACCCTTTCCCTGCCTGTCGTCTTCAGCAAGATCACAAAATGCTCCAAAACTCCTTCACCCTCCCACCCGGCCTGTCGTGTTTGCTTGGCCGGCGTTAACCCCCAGTGTCAGGAGGGCCTTCGTGGAGAAATTCCGCGTTCCGTGCAGGGGCAGCTTCTGTGCTTGCAGTGAAGCTCCTCAGAGATCCAGGAGGGACGCCTCGGCCTTCATTTCTTCTCCGAACATGTGTTCTGCTCAACATCTCTCTGGAGTGGCTCGAAGGTAAAGGATCCATCCGGTCAGGCGGCCTCGATAAGTCGTCCACTCTGCTTCATTCATGCAAGTGGGATGCAGACGTGCGCCTGGCACTGCGCCGACCGGGCAGAGCCTTGCACAGCTCCCCACACCTCAGCGTGCCTTCCAGAGCGGCGGGCGTGTCCTGGGAGGCTGCAGACCGTCGTTCCAGCTTCTCACGCGCCCTCGGAAGAACGTTCCCGCCACTTTTTCGAGGTGTTGCCGGTTCCCGAAATTCATCTTGCACACTGAATGTTGTGCCGCTGGGCAGCAGTCAGGAGCCACCTCCCACTCCTCGCAGACTAGTTTAAAGACATTCACAGATGCTGGCTTCCCTGCAGCGAGCTTCCATTCTGTGGGAATTGTCTCGATGTGGGTCCCCTCCGAGCTGGAAGGTGGGCAGCTCCTCTCGGTCAGGTCAGCGTTCCTCGTCTCTCAGCCCCAAGCGTGTAGGCGCTCCCGCCGGCTTCGTATCCTTTTTTCATTGCAGATCAAAGAATGCTGTAAAGTGTGGATCGATTTTAGCAACTTGATGCTCTTTAGTTTGGGAAATATTCCCTTGCTCGTTATAGGGTTAAACTGTATATACAATACTGGAAGTGCCTCTTTTCTACAATCCCCGGGATATTGTTTTTCCAGATGAGATACTTACTGGGATTGCTGTTGGATCCCTGACAAGATGTGTCAGGGCTCATTCGAGAGTGTCACTGTCCCTTTCTGGACTTGCTTTCTGTCCTTGGCAAAGCAGCCTCTGTACCAGGTACCCCAGCTGTGTGTCTCCCTTGGACAGCTCTTGTCCATGGGTGATGCAAGGACCCATCTTAGGCAATGGTGGTTTCCAAGAAAAGGTATAGGTTATTTTTTATTAAAAACAGAAACCTCCGGTCACACTGTGCATCCCTCTCATGGAAACGCGGTCCTTGAGGTGTTCAGGGTATGCTTCTGTGCTGGTGCCCGCAACACCCCTGGGAACACATGAGCACAGCTGCTGGCAGGCCTCCTGACGCTAGCAGTGTGTCATCTGTCAACCGTCGATCGATCGTCTGTCTACATGTGTCACCTATCGACCATCTAGCCATCCATCTGTTTTTAATAGAACAAGACATTTACTTGACCGAGCCTTGAAAGGGAGACATGTTTTGAGTGGTGTTAAAATAGAAACCGTGTTGTATTGGAACCCTGAAATGGGGGCGGTATTGTTCGAGATGCAGAGGGAAGATAGCGGAGTTGAAAATGTTTCCTCAGGTAGACAGTTCAGTGTGTGGACTGAGCCCCACCTCCGAGGAGCGCTTGCCGAGCTGTGCAGACACCGTGCGGCAACCTGTGCAGCCGGCTGGCGGCTTGTCCTCGGCTAACCCTGACTTGAGGCGCAGGAAAGCCATTTGCTGTGTGGAGACGGGAACACTCCCCAGGCGACCCTGTGACCAGCTGCTGTAATGCTAAGTGCCTGTAACTGACCTCGGTAATGCACCTGTGATGTAGTCGGCAAAATAGTTCAGAATATGGTTTTTTAAAACCTGAAGACAAAGCCAGCTTGCGATTGGAATATGCACTGTAAATCACATTTTTCTTATCTGCAGAGATTTATGTAAATGAATTTTCTGTTGTAGCTGATCAAACGAAAATAACTATGTGGATTTTAATATAACTATTTATTGGTGTGCTTTGGGAGAAAAATATTTTTTCTTGATAGAATTTACCAAAGCGACTTTGTATTGTTCACAGGTTAAGAGAAATGTGGGTTTGATTTTAGGGTTTTTGTTTGAATTCTTGTATACATACAACTTAAAACTGTGTGAAGAGCGAGTTGTCTGTGCTCCTTCTGCTGTTGTTTTATTTTTTTTTTTTAATATGAAAGTGATTGGCTTCAAAGAAAGAATTCATCCTTAATGTTGAGATTTTTTAAAAATAAAAGTATCATTTATATCCTCTTTAATTACTTGCATGATTATTGGCATCTACTTAAAGGTCAGTGCTTATGAAGACTTTAATCATTTAGCGCTAATGGCACTTTTCTTGACACTTTAAACCTCATTTTAAAATGCAAACTAGCTGTAGATGTTTTCATAAATAAATGAGCGATTTCAACCTAAGCTTTCAGGTGTGTGTTTTGCATATTGGGGTGCCCTGTGATGCTGTCTGCGAGTGACTGAGTCTGTGCCGGGAGAGCCCTGGTTTGCTTTTTCTTTGACTGTCGGTTATTTAATGAGTTGGAGCCTTTGGCAGGCCTTCCCCCAGCACCCAGCTGAGGGACAGTGACGACTGGTGATGGGAGTCCATATTTACTTACTCCTCTTTATCTGTTAAAAAGGTTGCCATCTCTTAGAAAAAAGCCTTTTTCAGAAGCAGTGGGCCCTTAGGCCGTGGTGGTTTCTAAGAACGTGTATGTCCGAGGAAGACTCTTATGCCAAGAACTGGGGACCATGCTGGCCAGGACAGGCCGGGGACCGTGCCGGGGATGTGCTGGCCGAGATAGGCCGGGGACCGTGCCAGGGACGTGCTGGCCAGGACAGGCCGGGGACCGTGCCGGGAAGTCCGTCTGCCACCATTTTCCTGCGTGCATGTCCCGAGCAGCTGACTTTCTGCCGCTGGCTTTTCCCTCACTGGGCTCTCTGGACATGTCATCCATTGGCCTGTCACCCAGGAGGCCTGGGACTCTGTCCTGCAGCGCCCCCTGCTCCCGAGGCCTCAGCACAGCCACACCCACCCCACAGCTGCTCTGCCTTAGGAGTGACAGGTGTCCCCTCCAGTGTCCGGTCCCCCCCACCCGCGCTGCTGCTCCTGCTGACCCACCCCCCTCACCTGCCTCCAGACCGGCGTAGCGTGCGCACCTGCTGGGGTCCGTGTGATGGCCTCAGACCCCGAAGCTCAGATTCTCCCTGTGCTCTGGTGTCACTGACGTCCAGGGCTTTTCTGGCCTTAGTCACAGTCAGGGAACTTAATCTTCCCTCCCTCTCCCAATTGGCTTTTTGCCGTTTATCCACTTTCTGGTTTTTGCGGTTATTTCTCAATTGATCATTGATTAAACAAATGACCAGAAGGCAAAGCATTATTATTTAATAAGCTTTAAAGAGATACACTGGCCAGGGCGATTTTCTAACTGACAAGGCAGTTGTAACGGTGCTGAGTTAGCAAGGGAGCCCACCGTGCTGCCAACTTTGTGGTAGGACCAGTGTCATGTGACAGGTGAAGCAGTGACGGGGTGGGAGGGGGCCCTCAGTCGCCTGCCGTTCCTCCCAGTGTGACTTGCCGCTAGCCTGACTGGGGACGGAGCGTGGAGCCAGCAGGTGTAAGCTGTGGTGGTCACTGGCTCTCCTTGGGCTCAGGGGCCTGGAATTCAGCAATGACAGTGACTGGTGGCATCTGTCACCCAAAGGATTTATCCGGGAAAAGGAAGAAGGGCTGGTGCAGACCCAGGAGCCGTGTGCACATTCGCTTGTGAGCCAAGATGGAGGCTGTTTAAGGCCGGGAGACAGGAAGTTGGGACCACAGAGTTTCAGGAAAAGGCAGTGAGGGCCCAAGTCCCACTCGGGACGCACGCACTTCCCAGCCTGACCAGTTTCCTTCAAGTCCCGGTTCATTTTTATCACAGCCCTGGGGACACTCATGAGAGCGTAGTCGGGTGAAGTGACGCTCTCTGAATTGCGGTCATCACATTCCAGCTCTCAGAAATCTAAGGTGGCCCCGCAGTTGCTTCTCCTGGGCGCTCAAGCGGCTACCACCGCCGTGCAGCCGGCTCCCGAGTGGGCGCTGTCACCAGTCCAGCGCCCTTGCTGTCTGCAGGGCGCCTCCTGGGGTCACCCGGGCCTGGGCGGGAGGTGGACACGGGCACCTCTTCTCTTCACAGCCTCGTCCCTCAACCTCCACGCCCGCGAGCTGTAAGAGGGGCTGCAGGTCTGGCCAGCCAGGTGTACCTGCTTGCAGGAAAAGAGCTTGACTTTGCAACTTCTTGATTCATACTGCGAAGTAAGAATCATGTTGAAATGAGACTTTACAATTTAGTTAATAGCAGAAAAGGGATGTGCCAGCTCTTGCCAGTCACTGAAAAATGTAATTTTGAATGAAAGACGACATCTCGGTGCTCTGAGCACAGCCGAGCTGTGCTGCACGGTGAGCAGGGCAGGGGGTGGACTTGGCAGGGCAGAGGCGGCCAGGCCGGGGCCTGCGGGACCGCGTGGGGCCCGTCCCTTACAGGCAGCGGGACACTCCCAGGGCGTGAGCAGGAAATGAAGCTGCAAAATGCAGAACACGCGTGGTTTTCCTCATCGTGTCAGCCTTGAATGTCAGGTGTAACCTAAAGGCAGAAGGTGACACGCAGTGACTCCCGCTCTTAGTACCAAGGGGACGAGGGGACGGGAGGCAGCCGCTGGGGGTGGGGCTGAGCTGTGCCTGTGAGCCTCTGCCCTGGTTAAGGACGAACTAGCTGAGCTTTGTTGAAGGGGAGGGTGTTAAGGCACCACAGCCAGGGACACCCGCCAGCGGCCTGGGAGGCAGAGGCCCAGGTGCCGGTGGCAGCACGGGCTGGCAGGAGCTGGAGGGCTCAGCACAGCTGCCCTGGGACTCGCCGGCTGCCCCAGGCTGTCAGGTACTGGGTGTCCCGGTGGCCGCGCTCACAAAGGACCCTCCCCGCGGCCTCAGCCGGCCGTTCCCATCCAGAGCTGTCCTGTTGTAAAGCGTGGCCTCTGGGCATCGGAAAACCGAGCCACCCAGGGACACAGCTGGCAGGATCCGCGCTGGGCAGCTCTGCACTGTGGACCCTCCCGCATCGGACCCCACGGAGTTCCGGGGACTGCAGACAAGGGCTCGGTGCCTAAGCAGGCTCGTTCCTGCCTCCGCTTAAGCATCCCAGCGGCCCGTGAGCACGCGGCACTTGGTGGCCAGGCAGGTTGTGCCATCGGCTGCCATGTCATCACAGTCGATCTGCTGACCAGACGCGTGCCGCCCTTCCTCAAACCCACAAAGAAAAGTCAGCAGGCTGTGTGGCAAAATGGTGTATTTTAATGATGATAAGACAAAGGCATTATGGTTACTTTTACCTCTACTTTTTGGAACATAATTTGGACAAGCACACAGCACGGTCGGGTTTCCGCTGTGACACTGGGTCATGGGAGCAGGTCCTGACACTGTTAGGTCACATGGTGTGTGTGACATGTCCACTCGCTGCTAGGGATATGGCCCTGGGGGGGCATTGCAGAAAATCAGGGTGATTTACCTGGATCATAAAACAGCCACTCAGGCCGGCCGAGTGGCGTGTTGGTTAAGAGCTGGCTTGGGACGCCAGAGGGCCCTGGTTTGGATCCCACATATGAGGGCCAGTGACACTGCCCTCTATAGCTAAGATGCTGAACAACAGCTCAACCTGGAGCTGGGCTGCTGTGAGTCGCCGGCGACTGTGTAGGCTGCAGCCCCTGTGGCAGTGGACTGCTGTAAGCTACAGTGAGTGGCTGGCAGCCAGCATGAGCTGCCGTGAGCCGCCGTGAGCGACCGTCAAGTGGCTGGCAAGCAACTGCCTCACCTGGGAAGAGCAGAATAATAATACCAACTTGGGCCAGTGAAGCAACGTCCTCCACAACTAGACTGAAGAACAAAACGACAGCAACTTGTCTGTTCCCCTTCCCCCAATTCCCCAATAAAAAAAAATCTTTAAAAAAAAACAGCCACGCGGGGCCTTACCTGGTCAGCTCAGTGTTTTTCGGGCACAGGCCCCTCTCCGTGTGACAGTGACCACGTGGACAGGTGCTGTCTTAGGCCGAGGGTGGGTTCTGGACCGAGGTTCTCCCCGCTGAGTAAGACCCCACCCTCCCTGGGCCAAGGTCAGCGTCCCCTAAGATTGCCGACCTGTTTAAATTTAGACAGTGACATGGCACAGAATGCCGGTGGTGGGTAAGTAAACAAAACCAAACCGTTACTTCCTGAGGAAGTCGACTCTTTGGAGCTAATTAATGTGCGTCAGTTCCTGGAAGTGGAAACTCCAGCTGAAGTCACTCGCTGTAAGGATTCAACCAGACTTTCTGCAGAAAAAAGTCTGAGCAAAACCAAAAATGAGTAAAACAAAGCCTTTGGTACTTAATTAAAACCTTTTAAAACAGACTATTGAAACAAAGTGATAAATCGAACAGCCTGTTCATCAGAGGAGGGCGGAGGCGGAACGCGGTCTGTCTGCAGGCTGCGCCTCACAAAGGGCCTCTGCCAGGTGCGTCTCCCCTCAGCGAGGGGCCTGGTGGCAGAGTCTCGGCCCTGCCCGGAGCTCCCCGAGAGATCTCAGGCCCCCATGAGGCCGGTGGAGCCGCGAGTGAGGCTCTGAGGGTCCATCTCACCGTCTCCCAGGTGTGTCTGCTAGGACTCACCCACCTGCGATGGCCTGGCAGGTGAGCCGGAGTCCGCGGGGGACGTCTGCCGAGGCCGCCTGCTCACAGTGACTGAAGAGGCTGCCGGGTGATTAGGGGCCTCAGCTCTGGGCTGGTCCTTGAGCCCCACATTCCCCATGGAGGGCCCTGTGCAGGCGAGGGTTTGGGTCGCTGTGGCCCGGACGACAGCTTCCCAGGCCGTGGGTTCCGTGCCAGGCGAGGCCTGTCCTCCTGGGTCCTGGGCTCCTCCTGGGGGCTATTTGTGTGCCCATCCTGGGCCCTGCCCCCACCTCAGAGGGCGGTCCCACCTACCCCTCCACCCCTCGCCCACTGCCAGGTCCTGGCCGCACCCAGACGAACGCTCCTTCCAGAAGCCTCTGTGTTTCGTCAGTTCTGGGGCCCAATGCCTGAAGGACACTCGGTACCTTCCTCCTGGCATGTGGGTCACAGGCCCCATGGACGCCGAGGGACAGGTGTCAGCAACCTGTGGGGACCGTGTGGGGCGGGGCCTAATCCTTGCCTTCCTCCTGCCCTGCGTCCCCCATGCAGCCACCTGCGCAACGGGGCAGACGTTAGCGTCTCAGGCAGG